GAGTTGAAATTAAAAACAGGAGATGGGAATGGCTAGGTGTAGAGGGGCTAGGAAGGGGCTGGGTGTGGAGATTGGAAGAGGAATGAAGGGGAAGGAGACAAAGTGCTGGCGTGGCACAGTGGCTCAGTAGTTAGCACCGCTGCCTCACGGTGTCAGGGACCTGGGTTCAGTTTCAGTTCCAGTCCCAGTCCTGGGCAACTGTGTGGAGTTTGCAGATTCTTCCTCTGTCTGCACGGCGTCCCGTGTCCTCCGGGTGCTCCAGTTTCCTCCCAAACTCCAAAGATGTGCAGGTTAGGTGGATTGGCCAGGCTAAATTGTCCCATACTGTCCAGGGATGTGTAGGCTAGGCGGATTAGCCACGGGAAATGCAGGATAATGGGGTCAAGGTAGGGATCGGGATGGGGTGGTCTTTGGTGCATTGTGGACTCGATAGACTGAATGGCCTGTTTCCACACTGTAGGAGTTCTATCATACTATCAAATCTATAGTTAGGCAACGACATGTTTTTAAGTTTTAGTATTATATCTTGAGAGAAGAAATTTAGTTACATAGTGTAAAATCCACTTATCTTTTAGAGTTGTGGGCTAAAAATGGGAAAAGGTACTATTTGAAACCAAGGAAACTGTTGAAGAGCATATTGCAATTGTAAAAACAAGTTGCTAGAATTCATTGTAACTCATATCTGCAATGTTGCTTTATTCAAGTAGTAAAGGAGGATGCTGGACAGCTCAGCTCCGTTAGTGTGTTCAGGGCAGTTTTGCCCCGAGACGGTTCTTTGGGTATTCAGTTGACCAGTTGTTACGGGCTCAGTATGGGAACAACCATTTGATGAGTTCCTGAGCAAGTGGCTACAACCTTGTTGTAACATGGATAACAGAGCAGAAGCAGAGAAAGGATGTTTCCAAAGAGAAAGCATCTCTGCCTCTCCTCCCCCTCCTGTGGGAAGTAACAGAAAATCTTGCAGCAGCCTTTCTCACCGCTTGTAAAGTGCCTTCTGGAAACTGCCTATTGAAAGGACAAAGGGCAAGGAAACACTTTCAAAGGCACTGATCGGGTAGATTCTCAGTTAGTGAATGAAAGCCGGCATAGATGTGAATACAACCTTGTATTAGCAAAGAATGGAAAGAAAACAGAAGGAACCAAAAGTGAACAACTTATCAACTCCTATGGTCTGAATTGGTGCAATCATACTGTTTCTCCATGTTTCTTTTACCTCTTTTCTTTCCCCAACCTTAATATCACTGTCTTGTTTCTTGATGTATCTGTATGCATATTGGAATTTTACAAAGGGTGAAAGTATAAGTTATAGTTATAAGTTAGTAATTCATACTTCATTCTTGTTGGTTAAAAATAGCACTTAGAATAAATAATTTTGTTTTGTTCATGGAAAATCCTGGTATGCATATTCTTTTATTCTTTATTAAGACTGTTAGGAAGAATTGGGCAATTAGATCATTTCTTTAAGTTTTCACATTTGTGGTAACTCGGAATAGTGAAGCATGACTTCCAGCACACTACCCAAGTAAGTTGTGACGGTAGTGAATTAGAGGTCTGGAATCTGTTCAAAAATCAGACTAGTAATTTAGTCTCACCCAAAATATATAAATGGAACATCTTGAAGTGGTGTGAACTTGTGTTGCCCTTATCAAGGGGATAATACAGGTTGTAGAGCTGAAAGATTAAAAACGTGCAAATTCACCAATTTCCAGTCTTCCTTTTCTTTAATCCTTAACTTGCACAATACATTTGTAATAACATCGTAGATCTCTACTTTCCCTGTGTGAAATGGTTACTCAGTTGGTGTAATTGTTAGGAATAGCTTGTTTTAGATGCTATGCTATGCCATCTACAACAATAGCAAATTACATGTATATAGCACCTTCAATGTAGTAAAACATACACTATGGTTGCTGACGCTCTTTATGTTCAATAATATCCTCTTCACAATCTCTATTAATGATTTAAATGAAGGAACTAAATGTAATGTTTCCAAGTTTGCAGATGACAAAGGAGGGTGGGAGGCTGAACTTTGATTTGGACAAGTTGAGTGCATGGCAGATGAAGTATAATGTGGATAAATGAAAAGGTATTTACTTTGGTAGCAAACAAAAAGGAAAATAATCAGAATGGTGATAAATTGGGGAAATGGGGAATTTGAACAAGAACTGGGTGTCCTTGTACACTAGTTGCTGAAAGTAAGCATGCAGGTGCAGCAGACGTTGAAGAAGGCATGTGGTATGTTGGCCTTCACAGCAAGAGATGTGAGTGCAGGAGCATGGATGTTTTGCTGCAGTTGTACAGGTTCTTAAAAGACCAAACCTCACATATTGTGTGCAGTTTTGTTCTCAGGATGTTCTGGCTGTGGAGGAAGTGCAACAAATATTACCAGACTGATTCCTGAGATGGCAGGACTGACATATGACTGGATTGGTTAGGACTAGATATTCACTGGAATTTTAGAAGAATGAGGCAGGATTTCATAGAAACCAATACAATTCTAACAGCACTGGACAAGATAAAAACAGGAGAGATGCTCCTGCTGACTGAGGAGACGAGAACTAGAGGTCACAGTCCACACGATATGGATTAAGTTTAGGACAAATTTGGGAGAAATTTCTTTACCTGGAGAGTCGTGAGCCTGTGGAATTCTCTACCACACAACGTAGTTGGGGCCAAAACCTTGAACGTTTTCAAGAAGGGGTTGGGTTGAATTCTTAGGGATAAAGTGATCAAAGGGCATTAGGAGAAAGTGGGAACAGAGTATTGAGTTGGACAGCCATATTGAATGGCAGAGCAGGTGCGAAAGGCCAAATGGATTACTCATCCTATTTTCGATGTTTCTGTGTTTAACAGTTGCACAGCGTTAGCCTCTGGTTTCCTTCTATACTTAACTCCATTTTAAATTTTCTGAGAAGCTGCACTCACATAAATCAGTAGTCCTAGGCATGAAAGCATGTAATTGTGACTGCCTAGTTTGGTTGAAAAACTTCAACCAGTAATGCTTGACCTATTATAATTTTTATTAATTTCAGCTGATGCTATTTCGTTTGACCATAATTTGCTACATAATACATTATTCTTTGTTATTGTAGTGCTTTTTGTGTGCTATTGGTTCAATTAATTACTGCTGTACTTCACAATAAACCTGTGCATTAATTTTAGTAAGGTGCTAAATCAGTTACTAGGATGCTTTCCTATTTGGATGTAAAATGACTAATTCAATTATTGATTGAGCAGAGATTTCTATACATTGATACAGATACATTCTGTAGTTTGTCAAAAAATGTGTGAATGTTTGCTATATTCATAAAAATGGAAAAGTACCATTTTGTGCACATTCCATAGGTATTAAAATCAAGTACAATTGCAAAATTTATAATGCACACTTGTGCATATAATAAATAGACTTTTACAGTTTACTAAAATATGACTACACAGTCAATATTCTGTTCAAAATGCACTAAAATTCTTGTCAGCCTCTTGAGTTAAGCTCTGGGATAGATTTTTCCCATGCTAAATATGAGGGGTAGCATTAGTTTGAAAATGGAGTTAACACTTATCTCACAATTAAGATTGTTTTTGGATTCTGCATCACAGGTACGTACAAACAAATTAGGAGCAGGAGGGGACCATGCAGTTTTTTTGAACCTGCTCCGTCATTCAATAAGATCATGGCTGATATGATTTGAACCTCAAGTCTGCATTTCTAATTACTCGCATAACCTTCTTGCCCCTCAACATTTTGTTAACAGGAATCTGTCTTTAAAAATATTTGAGGACTCCGCCTCACCACTTTTTCAGGAAGAGAGTTCCAAACATTTACAACCCTCGGAGAGAAAACTTCACCTAATCTCTCTTTTAAATGGACGACGTCTGATTTTCAAACGTTTACCCTTAGTTCTAGATTCTCCCATAAGAGAAAATATCCTCACCATGTTCACCCTGTTAAGACCCTCAGGATCTTATGTTTCAATAAAGTCACTTTTACTCTCTCCAACTCCAGCAGATGCAAGCCTAGCTTGTCCATCCTGGCTTCTAGGTGGCCGTTCTGTGGTATTTTAGTTACAATGATAATATTCACAAGCAATATTTTGATGTGAAATGTTGCTAAATGAGCAAAATTCTGGATTTAACTCAAAAGTAGCTTATTGCCTTTCCTTTGGAGGGAGGCATTGGAATAGTGGTCTAATATTGTCACTGGACGAGTATACCAGAGCACATTCCTCAACTCAATATAATTTAGCTGTTCAAATGGTAATAAAGTATCCATTCTTGGAAGGAAAACCTTAACTGCAATTATTGACCATTTCATCCCTACTATGTGACTTGAAAGAATTGCCAGATCTATATATAGAAATACAGGTCCTCTGTTCAAATCTCTCGCTCATCCCCTCCATCTCTTTCTGAGTTCTCCCTTCCTTGTGTCTCTCTTTGGGCTTCTGGGGCCATCTGCTCCTGGCTCCTTGCTCCCCATCCTCTGTCCCTCTGCCTTCCACCGCTCCCTTCCATCCCTGCCCTTTGCTCATCCATCTCTCAAACATGGTAACCTGAGAAGGAATCTTTTAACTTTTGGTTTTTCTCTGAAAATTAGCAGCCCTAGCTCCAAACAAGAAGGAAGTGCATCCATGTGGAAGAGTCTAGAAAGTTAAGTAATAGAATATAGAACATAGAACATAGAACATTACAGCGCAGTACAGGCCCTTCGGCCCTCGATGTTGCGCCGACCAGTGAAACCAATCTGAAGCCCATCTAACCTAAACTATTCCATTATCATCCATATGTTTATCCAATGACCATTTAAATGCCCTTAAAGTGGGCGAGTCTACTATTTTTGCAGTCAGGGCATTCCACGCCTTTACTACTCTCTGAGTAAAGAACCTACCTCTGACATCTGTCCTATATCTATCACCCCTCAATTTAAGGCTATGTCCCCTCGTGCTAGCCATCACCATCCGAGGAAAAAGGCTCCCACTGTCCACCCTATCTAATCCTCTGATCATCTTGTATGTCTCTATCAAGTCACCTCTTAACCTTCTTCTCTCTAACGAAAACAGCCTCAAAACCCTCAGCCTTTCCTCATAAGACCTTCCCTCCATACCAGGCAACATCCTGGTAAATCTCCTCTGCACCCTTTCCAATGCTTCCACATCCTTCCTATAATGCGGTGACCAGAACTGTACGCAATACTCCAAGTGCGGCCGCACCAGAGTTTTGTACAGCTGCAACGTGACCTCATGGCTCCGAAACTCAATCCCTCTATCAATAAAACCTAACATACTGTATGCCTTCTTAACAACGCTATCAACCTGGGTGGCAACTTTCAGTGATCTATGCACATGGACACCGAGATCTTTCTGCTCATCCACACTACCAAGAATCTTACCATTAGCCCAGTACTCTGTATTCCTGTTACTCCTTCCAAAGTGAATCACCTCACACTTTTCCGCATTAAACTCCATTTGCCACCTCTCAGCCCAGCTCTGCAGCTTATCTATGTCCCTCTGTAACCTGCAACATCCTTCCGCACTATCCACAACTCCACCGACTTTGGTGTCATCCGCAAATTTACTAACCCATCCTTCTACGCCCTCATCCAGGTCATTTATAAAAATGACAAACAGCAGTGGCCCCAAAACAGATCCTTGAGGTACACCACTAGGACCTGAACTCCAGGATGAACATTTCCCATCAACCACCACCCTCTGTCTTCTTACAGCTAGCCAATTTCTGATCCAAACCGCTAAATCACCCTCAATCCCATGCCTCCGTATTTTCTGCAATAGCCTACCATGGGGAACCTTATCAAACGCTTTACTGAAATCCAAATACACCACATCAACCGCTTTACCCTCATCCACCTGTTTGGTCACCTTCTCAAAGAACTCAATAAGGTTTGTGAGGCACGACCTACCCTTCACAAAACCGTGTTGACTATCTCTAATCAAATTATTCCTTTCTAGATGATTATAAATCCTATCTCTTATAATCCTTTCCAACACTTTACCCACAACCGAAGTAAGGCTCACTGGTCTATAATTACCAGGGTTGTCTCTACTCCCCTTCTTGAACAAGGGGACAACATTTGCTAGTCTCCAGTCTTCTGGCACTATTCCTGAAGACATAGTCCCTGACTATGTGTTGAACATAGACACACTTTCACTATCTTCGTTTACCCTGACCCAACATCTTTTCAAATAATCCATCTTATTTTGTGACTTTCTATCTTGATTATATTCTGTTATTTGCATTAATATATGTAAGTATATGTTAGATTCAGTATGTTTGGAGTTTTTATAGGTATATTACCATGTTCTAACTTTAGGTTGTGCTGAAGATCATCAAACATTTCCAGGAGGAGGGTCAAGGCAGTGAAGTGGTCCAGGGGGTTTTGTTGGGACTTGTGGTAGACGATCGCCTCGAAATTACCAATTGTTTCCCCTTCCCTCAACATACAGAAGAGGATGCTGACTTTGATGAAGGTATGTTGTGAGAAATTTTGCTGAACCCTAATGTATCGCACTTTATTGTCTAAATTTTATGCTTGTGTCACTTGACGACAGTCATCATGTTCAGTTGTATAATGACTGCCACTGACAGATTGCTGAGTGGAAACTAAAAGCTCCTTAGGAATTTTCATTTGAAAATTGGCCTTTGAGTAATTAATATTAATTTAAATCTTTTATTCTCACTGTGAATTTGCTGGTAAGTCAATTAGTTTTCTGGGAAACAAAACAGAAATTGTTGGAAAAGCTCAGCAGGTCTGGCAGCATCTGTGAAGGAAAAAAACAG